ATTTAATTTTTATAAATATGTTTGTAATTGTATGCAATGATCCCGTACAGGTCTTTCGATTTTTTCAAGCATATATAAATATTCATATATAAACTTATTTGAATATATATCAATATTTAGAATATTAAAGAATAAAATACATTTAAAAAAAAATATGCTAAATTATGTGCATTATTTATTTAATAATATTTAGCTTTTTCTTGGATTATTGTTAAAGATTTTTTAAATAATGTTCACTACTGGCGTTAAGAAAGTCTAATTAAGTACAAAATTTTTGTTTATAATTTTCTTGAATTAACTCCCAAGTTTTATTTAATAAAAATGTGTATTTTACAAAGACAAATATATTAAATTATCTAAATTTTCCCCTAAATCTGCCAACTTTAATCCTGTGATTCTTCAGTTCTTAATGTAAAAAAAAATTTATTTCTCGAGATTTGAGTTGAGGAAAATTATTTTAAAAGGTTTATTTAATTATTTGACATCTTTATATTTATCGAATTTAATTTAATGAAAATCCTAAAAATGTTTTCACCCTAAAAAAAAAATAATCCAAATTAGGGGAAAACCTCAATCTTACTATCTGTGAACATCTGATAGTTGTTTTGTGTTTCTCTGTTGGAAAAAATCAAGACAGTGAGAATCATTTTCAAATTTGAGGGAAAATTTATTAAATTTCACTATTCTTTTATAAATTAAAATTTTTGACAGAAATTCATCCGTTTAAACGCTCACATGAAATCCCATAATTATGAATTATTATAACAACTCAGCATTTACAATCAATCTCTGATAATTCTCTTGAAAAGAAGATTGCACTGAGACCCTATCCCATTGAAAGAACTGTCAGTTGAATGCGTAGTTTCTTTACCAGCCGCTGCCATTTTGTATTAATCGGGATAGAAATTTACTTGTATTCATAACATATCAGCTACAGTCAGAAGTCCTTGTGATTTCTAGAATTTTACATAAAATTACTTTTCATTTCACTGTTAGAAAAAAAAAAAATATTTCTAAGCTAGAACGCTCCTAATAATAAACTGTTTACCACTTACGGTATGGAAAAATTCCACTTGCCCTGAAGTGACGACTCGCACTGCTTTTAGGAACATCCGTCAGATAGCACCACTGTCCAGAACTCTTTAAAATTTTACTTCATGATCATACTGCTAATATATTTTATACTGTTAAATCAATTTATAATTGTTATATTTAACTTGATATGTGATGCGTTCGTTCATAATAAAAAAAAAAATCTATTTCCTTCGTAACATCGAGTTATTTTTATTATTGTGTTTTATTTAATTTTATTATAATTAAATTTTATAAAAAAATTATTTACTACAGTTAATGGATTTCATTTGATTATTACGTTTTTAAACTCATTTAAAAATAGTTCTTCAATCCCCGTTTTATCTTTTGAATGAGTTAAATTATGTTCATAATCTTTAAACATATACATATATATATATTCTTGTTTAATGTTACTCCAAATTTAATTTAATGTGCAAACAAATGAATTTTCTTTTTATAGTTTTTTTTTTCCTCAATGTAACCCATCATTTTGGGGAAAACCAAACCAGTTTTTATTTCAACTAGTTATTAAGATAATTGAAATATACAATAAATCATAGAAGCGATGATTTTCGAAAATAAAAATCCCTCAGTTGGAGTATTTAACTATGAAAATGATCTTCGATTTTTTTTTTTTTATATTAGAGTGCTACCAATGGGTAGTTTCTCAACAAGCGTGTTTCATGTGATTATATTCCTCTGTACTCATTTACTTGATGTATTCATACTTATACAGTTGTAAATATCATAATAATAGTTGAAGTTTTTTTTATAATGAATAATCAAGTTTTTCAGTCATACTTTTTATTGTGTGCCGACATTCCTACTCTTCTTGAAGTTATTTTACTAAGATCACTGAATCTAATTGCCCTGATAGAGACTCACAAGGTTGGATCGAAATCACGACACTCATAATAAAAAATATGAATGAAAATCCTGATCATTTATTTGCCATCCAAGATAACCTTCGTAACAGTCAACAATAATTCATCTTTTATTTATTTTTATAAAAAAAAATATTTGTCTCTGAAATACAATCTGATGATTTTCTCATGGCCACCAAACCCGGAGTTGAGTCATTACAAAATATAACAAAGAGAAGGATGTACTGAGAGATTTAGTCTTTCTGCGCAGTTTCTTAAAATAAAATAAGGAAAATATTATCAGGCTTTATAAAATAAGGAAAAAGTTCTTCGTATATTAATGAAGCATATTAACTATACTATAGTTAAAGAAAACAAAAAAATGTTTTAATTTTTATTACTTGTCTATTACTAAAGCCTGTTGGTTGCTGTTGTATACGGGAATTCATTAATAGAATGTTCCTATTTTTTAAAATAGTATTTCTATTTTCTCATGGCAGAAGTTATAAAATAAGGAATAATTACAGACATTAAAGTCACTAAAATATATGTTTTATTGAAATAAACTTCAGGTATGTTATTATAAATTTTGATGCTATTTATCTATGCAAAAACACAGTAAGTACATCAAAATGACCCAAACTCATTTATAAACCAAAAACACTTACAATGAGTTCACAATTTTTTCATTTCAAAGAGAGAAAATGTACCAAAGTATTTAGTGATTTCATTTTAAGAAATGTTGCTTAATGAATATTTTGAGTCAATCCACGATATATTGTATTCAAATCTGCCAAGAATACAGAGTGAAAAAAAAAATTAAATAAATAAATTGTGTGTAAATCTCCTGATAATAAGTCCATGACTTATCGAATATTATTACTTATTCAGTTATTATATTATTCACTCATTATTTAAAAAAAATAAATGTATATTATATAGTTTTTATATACCACTGTGGAATCTAGTTACATTTGACGTGCCATGTTTCCTAGCCTGAATTAATTTAAATTCAAATTGCAAGCGAACGATGATTTATTTACAAATTAGCAAAATACTTGAAGGACTGGAATGTTCTTGTTGGGAATAATTCAAAGATTATATCAACTTAACTATGTAAGAATTTAAATTGGCCTCTGTTTAGAAAATTTCACTACAAAATCCCTCATTTTCGTATTATTTCGTCCTTGACAGTAAGTTTTCGTACAATTCATGCTATAGTCAAGATATATTTACTAATAAGGAAAAATCTCGATATGACTCAGAGCCTAAAAGAAAACCTCAGTGACAACGAAAACGCCGTGGATAAAACCTTAAAATTTTTAAAAATAATAAAGTTCTACAATAGAATTAAATAGGAAGTTTTGCCAATGACCCTGTAGGGTAGAGGCAGCAATAAAAACAAATAAATAAATATTACTAATAATTTTTTATTAGTTATATACTTCTAAAATATTATCATAGAGAAAAAAAATTAAATTTATTTAATTAACTAACTTCGAATTTATTTAAGTTTTATTTAGTTTTTGGTTAATTTTTTTCAATAATGAAACATTGTGATCGTCCAAAAAATTCAAAAACGTAACCCCCACTCAAAATTTGAGGTTTCACGTTTCAAGACGCGTAGAATCCGAAAAACGAATAAAAATTTTTTTGTCCGTCCGCCGTCCGCGCATTTTTTCCGAAACTACTGGACCGATTTTTTTTTCAAATTTTGATATAAAATCAGAGGTCACGCGAGGATGATCCTCCTTCATCGACATTACTCTCCGCCTTTAACTTTCAAAATGGCGGCCGAAAAACCTGCGTTGCTATAGACTGTAGCTCCTAAACGAATGTACAGATTTCAATGAAATTTCGTTAAAGTCATTTTCTTAACGCCCTTTAAATTTATCTATATAACATACTTCAACGAAAAGAAGCTGGAAAAAAGTTACGAGGGATGGTAAAATTAAATTCTGAATAACTCGAAAAGTCTAAAAAAAAATAAAAAATAGTTTTTAAAAGTTTACGAAATTTCCTAAAAAACAAAAAAAAAATCGTTAAAATCGGACAATTAGGAGCAAAGATATGGTCTCCGTTTTTTTTTTTTTTTTATGTGTTACTGAACTAATGCTTTTTTTTTTTTTTTTTTTTTTTTTAGCATATTACTCATGATTAAAGAAAAACAGTTTAGTCCAATAATTGGAATCACCTTTTGTTTTTCTTGCTTTGTAAATCGGAAGGTAATGTTACTTTAAATGTATAGTTGTTTGGAGATAAACCATTGTGAAATAACTTGCAGCGTTTTTAAACTGTTGTGAAACATTCTTGAGCAAAGAACTTACAGAATACTTACATGGAAATGAATATGTCAATATCTGTTTGGTTTTTTTTCGTGTATCATCTACATCGCCATTTTTACGAAAGATGGAAGGGGTAGTTCTAATTATAGGATTATAATATTTTATTTTTTCTTCAGCACATATATATATATATATATAAAGAAATAGGGCTGAAGGGTAACCCTTGTTGACACAACAGCCCTGCGCCAGGTGGGGGACACGTGGCATGCTACCTGGGTAATGGATGCTGGGCCCAGCCGCCTAGAAATGGCACATCTGCCCCTCACATCTGATTGCCTCCCCTAGCTCTTCACCAATTATATTTCCATCTGCGGCTAGACATTGATGACCATTGTGCCAGCTCTAGGGGTCGAGTGTCCTCTGACAATATGTTTTTATCTGACCTTCGGCAGAACTTAGGGATTTTCGATGAATCTAGATTAGGTTGGTTTTGGTCCAATCACATCAAAAATTTGATTTAATGTGAATTTTTAGTAATAGCCTTGAAGATTAAGGTTTCCCATCTAGAAATTATACCATACATGATTAGTGTAATGTATTAATTCTATTATAAATAGAATAAATAATGGATATAAATGAATGATTAATTATCTATTTCAAAACGGATACTATATTTGGTGTACTAGTACATGCATGTAGATTTATATCATTACATTCTTCATATGAATAATAATTATTTGCAAAATAATTATTCTATTTATTTATTTTTTTGTTCCAGCCCGGACGGCAAATACACGAGTCGTTGGAACTGGACGACTCCAGTGACCGTCGGAGAGTGACACAGAGGAGCCATGGCACCCAAACTGGCTGTGATCTAATTATAAATTGTAATTAATTATTTACTAATATAATTTTGTTAATTAAGCTACTTGTTGATTTTTTTTTTGTAAAATTCATTATTGAATTTGAAAAAAAAAAAAGAAGAGATAAATCGAAATGTTTTATTGTGCCCCTATGAACCTTTATATCTTTGTTGTTTAAGTGAGAAAAGGTTTACTATTGTTTCTCTTTGTAGATTTTTTATTGATTTTGATTTAATAATTTTTTTAAAAATTATTATTACTTCTATAAGTTCATTTTGAATTGTGAAAGGCTGTTTATTTTTTAGTTTATATAAGATTTATTTCTGGCCTTGTTTTTATTTTATATACCTTGTTATGTTGTTTTTGCAACTGTTTCCAAAACAACCCAGGTATTTATTTTGTTCCTCAGCCCCCTCATTAGATTACTAACTTTCGTATTAGTTAACTGTTAAGTTTGTTTCAATAGTTGAATGTTTTAATTGAAAAATGAGAGTTGTGAAATCGGTCTAAGGAACAATTTTTATTTTTATAAAAAAATAAAATAAAATAATTCAAAGTACTCCTGGTTTTTGTTCTGCATATTATTTTGTTATTGTAGCGCAAATGAAACTAACATGTAAAACACCATGCATGATTAACAACTGATTTCCATCGTTCAAAGTCATTACTCACCGAATCCATGTGGGATGAGATACGTGCTGTTGATTTTACCCATTTCGTGGTTAAAGATGAATTACTTCGTCCTCTTGTGGATTTTTTTTTTGTTGATGTAGTTCTTTCCTTGCCATTAAAACTGCAACTCCTTATTGCATACATAAAATCATTAACAGCAATAGATACGGAGTTTTAAAATACTAGATTATATATAAATGTTTTTATGGAAATAATATTGTTGGAATGGATGTAATTGGTGTTCAGTGTCATATTGCAATATCTGTTATGATTCTAGTTGTTATTGATGTTAATGATGGATGTTGTAAAAATAGCTGTCATCGAAACCTGGTCTGATTATTACATGTTTATTAGATAAATATTGCCCTGGATTGATTTGATTAATGTTTTGTCAGTTGAGTTAGACTTTGTGATATTTGTATATTGTAAGTTTATCATATTATTTTGTACTAGTGGATGTATTATCTTTGTGAACTGTAATCTCAAATACATCTTTTTGTTTTATTTTTTTGCATAGCACGTTGTATAACTTTTGAATCGAGCTCCTTGACCGTATAAGTATTTATTGTGTAAAGATTAATGTATATATAGTGTCTATTTTCCGCATTACGGCGGTCATGTACGGTCAGAGGGTTCAATTTATATGTTTATAAATGTCATGTTTCTGTATATTTCCTATTGGGCAGATGAAAAGTGTAAAGAAAAAAAAAAAATGAAAACACAAAAGGCTGTCCGATATATATCATTAAGACAATATCAATGTTAACTATTCCATACTTTAATTGTACATAATCAAAAATTGACACTGCGCTCCATGAGTGCCAATATATATATATATGTTAAGTATTTATGCCTATATTAGCTATCTCTTTGTACATAAATCCTTACCTGTTGAGTACATGTTTTATTGAAGTATTTTGTGTACAGTCCAGATGAGGAAATGTGCAATCTTTTTAAGTCTTCTTATTTTATTGATGTTTTATTTTGTTTGAAAGTATTTTTTTAAATATTATAATTACCAAAGATAATGTTTTGCGTTCTGTGTACAGCAGTGGCACCCTAAATCTACACCAGCCACACTAATGTTACATTCCTACAATACTTTCACTTTCTTGCGGTTATTAACCTTATTATTATATATATATATTTTTTTTTTCCATTCTCGTCATCTAGACAATATATTTTTCTGTTCGACTTATATCTTTTACCCTGTACCCCAAAACTAACGCTAAACGCAAGCATGCCTCTATGCGCTTAATCGATTTCGAAACTTATTTTTTTATCAAGAGAAGATGTACAATGTATAGGTTTTCAGATGACTGTAAATGAATAGTCCTTAATGTAAGTCTTAAATGTTAACTATAAGTGAAGTTAACTATCATCAACAATATGTTTAGTTAACTTTAGTTGACAACAAAATGTTAGTTGAGATAGCTGGTTAATTGTACATACTGATTGGTCTACTTTCCATGTTCCACAAGATATCGACTGTGTTAGAAAAGAAAAAGGATAAAATTTAATATTATTATAAACAAAATATATGGCTATATCAGAACAGGGTTATGCCTGTAGTTGATCATTAAAACATAGTACCAAAATTAAATCGAGTTTTATTTATTTGTTCCTTTTCCCCAAATTCCTTAACTATCACCTGCAGAACATTACTTTTATAGAAAACATTCAACGGAAGGAATGGTACGAACTTGGCTATTTTCTCATTATTTTTAGTATTTCTCCCAAGTGGTACCTAATAGATATAAATTATAGATATTAATTTAAGGTGATAATAATAATGTAAGGTGAAGAAATAGTTGACTGATGACTTGGTTAAAAATTTAGCAGTGAGTGATAAATAAATAATTTTAATTTGTTTCAACGTTTCGTCCTATTTCAGGCCTTCGCCAGTGTTGAGGAAAGACAAGATCAGCAACCAAAAAATGATTAAGCAACTGTCGTAAACATATATACTAGTATATGTATGAGTGGCTTAGTAACAAAGATGGGCATCTATCATTTTTAAAAAGTTAAGAAAACTCCAATTTTTTGTAACATACTCCAATTCAAAACAATTCTAATGATTTTGTTTCATGATTCATTCCACTTGAACATTCTTAAATAAAATTATCAGAAACAGTTTGAGTTGCACCTATAAAACAAAAATTTACTTTTTCTCCGATTTCTAAACATTACAAATGTCCGTCTTTGATAAGAAGCTACTAATATATATATAATAATAATGAACAAATAAAAAAAACAAAATACATATCTGCCCAAAAGACTAATTGAATATAAATTTTAAGAATTTACTGAGTAATTTAAATAGTTATACATCACCAAATAAAAAATCTCAAGAATAATTATAATTGAAATGAGAAATACACACACACACACACACAGATAGATATATGTATGTATGTATGTGTATATATATATATATATATATATATATATATATATATATATATATTTATTTATTTATTTATATTTAATATATTGAAATATACCCGAGTTAAACCCCATGATTCTGGAACTGCAAAGAAATTCCTTACGAGCAAATGGTGTTAACAAATGGTAAGAATTAGTTTTAAATAACAGTAACTTATAAGCAGATGGTTATAATAATTATAAGCACATGGTTCTAAACAATTAATATGGATTTGAACAAAATAGAAAAAAAAAATATTTTGAAAACTTAAATTTCAATATTTTCTGTAAATATTTAATAATTATACGTTAGATTGTAATTTCTAAAAATGTTAACATTAAAATTTCCCAACATTTAATGCTACATACGTATTACAATATTTCTAAATTTCAAATCATTTACACTTAGTTCGACTATGGAAAAATAAATTTGCTATTTCAGCTATTTTTTTTTTAAAACATCGACAATACGTAATAACTTCCAAAAAAGCTTTAAACGAATTAATTGAGAACTAATTTTGTGCATCGTTTCTATTAGTTAAAATGGACGAATGAAGAAGATTTTAATAGGTTACCAACTCTCGATATCTAAAAATATTGAATGTTAAACGTTTGCAACGTTTGCATTTAACTTTTCAATCTTAGTTAAATGAAATCGTGCAATATTAATCAATAAAACAGTTTTACCATCAGAATATATTACAAAATGAGACAGTGATTTTCCTGAATTATTTCAAAAAACAAATATCTAAGGTGTAGTAATTTGGAGTTAAAATATATTAATTTGATTTCTTTTATATTAATTTGTGTTATACATATATATATATATCATTATGGTTTTCTTTGTACAGTGTCTTTTTAGTAACTCGGGTTTTTTAGATGTGTGTGTAGGTGAAAATTCAATTAAAAAGTAATTTAGTGTAATATTTGTCTTTATCTTTATGATTGGTTGTTATTTTGTTGTTATTTAGCCCCGATGTAGCCTACAATTTGGGCCGTTATACTTCGTAAAACAATAAAATAAGACATTGTTGGTGTGTCATTTCATTTTTGATCGCATACTTCAATCAACTTCCCTTAACAATCCACGCTGTAATCAAATGAAAATCTGCGATTATTATTTTAGTTATGCCTCCCTTTTTTGGATTTCTGTCAACAGAAATGATTTATGATAATAAAAGGAAATTTATAATAAAACAGGAAATACAGAATTCAATGTGGTTACATAAAAAAAAAAAGAAGGTTATTTTATGTTGCTACATCTTTGGTGATGCTTGTCACACACTGATGGGATCCCTGTTAAGTTTGATTTAATGCTGAGGTGTCAGAAGACAGTCTTCTGTTGTCAGTCACGTTCAGAAGGAACACATCACCGCAATTCCTCTCATATCTACTTCATGATATCCAAAATCCTTTTAAAAAAAAACCCTCAGTGCTAAGCACTTAATGAGATGGTGTCTGACGATAACAGGTTACAATTCCGTAGCTATACCTAGGTATAATAAAACCAGACGAAAAACAAGGTTCAAATAGTTTATATTTTAAATAGGAACACCTAAGATTAAATAGATAAATATAGTGCAGGTATACCGGAAGCTTCTCTTATTTAAAAAGATACCGTCGTTAATTATTTTTATTTCCTTTCTACCCATTGATATTGATTTGATTTTTTTGGGAGCTAAAAGTCACGCGTAATCAGCAACGAGTAATGAGTCAAACGGGCACCAGGACTCGAAAAGCCCGTAATGTTAATAACATTTACCTGAAAAAGAATAGTGGCTATTCGTTAGAATTAAAAATTAATTAATTAGATTTTTTTTTTTAAGATGTATGTAGTGAAGTAGTAATGATGCATGGTAATTCGGTACTTGAAAATGGATATTGGTGACTTGTGACCACAATTCATTTAAATAATCAATCTTAATGTAACACAAAATAACAAATGATAAAATATTTTTTTGGAATATATGAGTTGTATTTTTGTGTTTTTTAAACATTTTATCTACCGTGATTTCATCTGAAGATAGAATAAATAATAATAATAAATAAAAGGCCTAGTGAACCCGGAGGTTCGATTCCAACACTACCAATTGGTTTTTACACTCCTCTTCGTCGTCCAAACCCCCCATTTCCACAAGATCGACTATAACGCAATCCTCCCACCTTCACTTCGGTCTAGCTCTCGGACCTTTACCAATCGGCACAGCACATATTATTCTTTTAGGAATTCCTTAGATACTACAATTTTACATGCCCATTTTGTTCCCCAATATGTAATAACTTCTATTATATTAACCGGGTACAGTTCGGGTACAATTCTCCAATTGACTCATCCTTTTTCGGTGCGAATATTCTATGCAATACTTTATTTTCAAAAACATAAAAGCGTTGCTCATCCCTTAATAACCGATCACGTTCCGCATCTTAAAAGAACCGTAGGTAGGATAATGGTTTTGTAAATTCTTATTTTTACTTTCCTACCCATACTTTGTAAGGAAAGTATTGCGATCAGGTCAAATTTTCGACATGCGATTTCGAAGAATCCATACGTTTCAGAGCCTCCTGAATCCGAAAAACACATTTTTGGCCATTTTTCTGTCTGTCTGTCTGTGCCAAGATTTTCTCGGGAACTAGTGAACCGATTTCGTTGCTTATTTTTTTATTTTGTAGGTTTTTGAATTCGGTTGCCTGCGACACAAATTGGGTGCTCCATGCGGAATAGTGGCTGCGCAATAAATGAAAAACATGTTTTTCTATAGGCTGTAGCGAAAAAACGGCTCTGATTTTGATGAAACTCTCCTATAATGTTCTAATAATTGTCCTTTCGATTTTCGTACATGTATTAGCTTCCCGAGAAAATTAAAGAAAAGAAGTTATAAAGAAAAGAAAAATGTTTTGGGGCCTAACTCGCTAAGTACATATTCTGTGGTAAAATTTATAATAACACTTTTGAAAGGTAATTAAATTACCGAAAAAAAAAAAAAATCATCGGAATCGAACCCAGTATTAGCGATGATACAGCTTATTATATGTTTTACACATTTTTTTAACTTATTACTTTCCTACCTAAACGAGGTAAGGATAGTATTGCAATCGGGTCAAATTTCCGAAATGCTGTTTTCGACGGATCTATATGTTTCCGAGCCCCCGAGTTTTTTTTTTTTTTAAGGTGATGAAATTCCCTACAAAACTATATAAAAATCGTTCATTTCGGACAACTATTAACGAAGTTTCAGCTATTCAATTTTCAGTATAAGATTACGGGTTTCTATCCTGGTGTCAGAAAGGGGTGAATGAAAAAAGATATCTAAGTGATAATAAGAAAATCTGTTTCCCGCATCACACAAGCTTCACTATTTCCTCTACTTGTAACACAAATTATTGTTTGACAAAATTATGCTATGGAAAAAAGTTTTAGATCAGCAATATTAGAGGGTATTGAAATGTTTACACTTTATCTACCTTAAGCCGGTTTACGTTGCTTTTTTTTATCAAATAAATCGTACTCAAATCTTTTCTTTGATCAATTTTCAGGAAAATTAATGTAATTCATTTTTTTTTTCTTAATGGACGTATGTAAAGATATAAAAAATTTACTGAAATACGTCGGAAGTCGTGTGAGTGGACATACCAGATTTTTTAATTTAACGCGAGCTAACTAGTTTCGCCAAAGAAAAATAATATGAATTTCCCGTCTTCAGCCTAACCTTAATTTTCTCTTCCATTTCGTTGTTTCTCGCTATCGTAGGATCTAGATAACTGAACTCATGTTCGAACGTATTCCAAACTGTATCTATGTCACCAACATTGTGGAAATTAATCGAAAGGTTAAAAGTTCTTTTTTTTTTTTTACGTATATCTTAAATAATCCTTGTCACTATCTGCATTCTACTGTTCTTTGCAGTATTTATCGACTCTTCACTAGTCAGGTATTCTATTCTTCGAAGGGAGATAGGAGTGGGTGGAGGTGATGCAGTTGCAAAGTGAGCTCTAGGACGCCGACATGATATAGAGCCCCCCTTGGAAAACCGGTCCTGGATTGCAAATGGTAATTCATAGCCTCAGAGAGTCGAGGACTATCTGACAGCTGATGGCAAGACTAAAGCTCTATGACATTTTCACTAAAATCAATCTACGTCGAAACTTGATCCAGTGTTGTCCACCTCTGCTAACATTTT